TTTCAATTGGGTTATATGTTACACGCATTGAAAATTGTCCAACCTTAAAGTGAACAAAATCTAGTTGATGTATGTTCAAATTAGTGATTCTAAATCTGGTCTTTATCGGATTCCATAGGCTTTACGTATATCCGATCTTTTCGGTAAAGGTTTGTTTAGACGAATATAATTCCTCGGCCACTTCTGCTTAAAACTTTTAAAAACCAAATATTGGTAAGCGCCGACTCTGTTTTTAATAAGTGGTCTATTCAACCCCCTTCTAGAACTGTGTCGTCGTCTAACAACTAGACTTTAAAAATGTATATTTAAATATAATTTTGACTGATTCAGTTAAATTTTTTACAAACTCATTGATAGATACTTTTGTACCTTGGTTGTGTAATTATCCTGTCAAAGTGAGTGAATAATAGTGAAGGATATTGGAAGAGTGAAAGAAACATTAAAAATCATCTTGAAAAGAGAAGTAGATTAATGAGATAGAATAAATAAATAAATAAATAAATAATAGTGTAATAATCAGTTAGGAGATTAGGAATAAAGGTTACACTTAAAAATATAAAAGTAATTGTTTAATTAAATTTAGTTTGAATTTAAATGTAAAAATGATGATAATTGGTTTTCTTATTTTGATAATAGATTTGTATAATTCCTATTCAATTTATCCTTTAAAAATTAAAAGTAAAACAAAAAATATAGATTTTTTAAAAAAATAAACTAATTATTGCCACTTATCCTAGACATTAAGTATTAAATAAAAACTATTTTTATTAAAAAACAAAAACATCCTTCTCTAAAATATTTTTATTATTCAATTCATTTTATACAAGTTAATTTATTTTTATTTAATTAAGAAACCTAATATAATTTTAAGATTATTTTAAATTATTTCGAATAATTGCATTATTTTCTAATATCAAGTGAATAAGAAAAGAGTAATATGAAAGGAAGCAGATAACATCAGAACAAATAAGTATCTAACTTAAAAGTTTTAAGCCTATTATTCTAAATTATCATATTTTGAAATCAGGACAACTAGACCTTAAAAGCGCATGTTTAAATATGATTTTGATTGATTCAGTTAGAAACTTTACAAACTTATTATTAAATACTTTTGTACGTTATTGTGTGATTACACTGTCAAAGCGAGTGAATAATTGTGAGATGAGAGACATGTTAAGTATTTGTGTGTTCGGAAGAAATTTTTTTAGTTACTTGGATTGAAGCAGTGAACGAAAATGTTGATCAACAAAATAAGAAAGATGACGTTCATTGATAAGAGTAAACAGTTTAATTCTGATGAAAATTTTCAGAGTGCAGACAGGTTACTTGTCGACAAGCAGCAAAGTTAGTTCAGTGTTGTGATGACAGACGTCATTATGTGATTTTTACGAGTATATTTGGATGAAATCAAAGAAATAATGGAAAAAATTCAAGCAAAAATGTGGAAGAATGGAACAAGTTGCAAAAGTGTGAAGAAAGAAGACTTAGAGAAATTTTGAGAAAAAAGGAAGAAGATAAAAGCTTTTGCTTATGGATTTCACGTGTGCACAGTGCATCCCATTGTGGCACAATGAAAAACTCGTTGTGGCGTGATACTTCCCATCATGGAATGATAAGGCGATAAATCCTAACATATTTTGCATCTTTAAATAGAGAATGTTGGCTCCTTTTTTAGGGTTACAAATTTGATCGAGAAAGTGACGATTGGAGATTACCAAAGTGACGAATTTTGAGGGTTTTGGAAGCCATTGAAGACCTTATTCTTCCTTGATTTTCACGTTTTCTCCATCTAAACTCATGATAATTATTATAATCACTATGAGTAGCTAGATTCATTAGATTATGTATTTTAAAAATAAAACCTTGTTGGACATATGGTTGTTTGATGTTAATTGTATTATTTTATATTATTGTTATTATTTTATATTATTGTTATTATTTAATCGCTCTTGTGTTTATTGCTTTTTATGTATTGATGAATGCATGATTTGATATCAGATGAGTAGGATTTCTGATAGTTAGTCTGCCAATCCGATCTAGGGCAATTATTCAACTTAGTAATTAACTAGGAATAGGTAATTATAAGTTTTGGCTTGTGAATTAACGAACTTAAAACACCTAATTTAAATATGAATTGACATAAGGAATTAGGGAATTATTGGGTAGATTAGTGAACTTTACATCAAGAAATTGGGTGTAATGACTATGTTAATTCGTTGTAATACTTAAACATATTATAAATTTGATTAATGCACAGTTCATCAACAAGTATGATAAGGGGGTTCAAAAGAAGATCGAATTTCCTTTAGTTATTGAAATCAACTTCATTCTCATTTTCATTCTCGAACCGACTAACTCTGAAAACCCCCTTGTTATTTACTTTAATTCGTACGTAGTTACTTTGTTTAAATTTGCAATCCTTATGGTGACAGATTTATTTATTACTTCAACGATACTAGTATACCTGCTAGAATTGACCATTAGATCCAAAGACAAAAATACACGAAAAAGAAAAAGAATAGAAAAGGTAAATATGATTGAGAGTGATCTTGAAATGATATTAGATAATAATAAATCAACGACTTTAAAACGTACACTTGAAAAGCACAATGACATGTTAATATACAAATAGAAATAAAAATAATGATAACGACATTAAGATAATGATAACGACATTAAGATAATGATAATAATATCATTGATAATAAAAATAGAAATAAAAATGATCTAAAAAATTCAATCAATTATGTTAATATACGAGGATCTGTGGAACCGAAAAGGTGTGAATATATATGAAATATTTTCACTTGCCATGACATGTGAAATTATGAATGAAAATGATGATCCCGAATGTAGAACTATGAACAAATGTCAAAATATACATGATTGGAAAAATTGAAAGGATGTAATAGATATCGAGTTAAATTCTCTTAAACATCAAAAAGTATTTGGTCCTATTGTGGCTATACATAAATGTGTGAAACCTGTTGGGTATAAGCGGATCTTTGTAAGAAAATGAAGTGAGTAAAATGAGATTGTCAAGTACAAAGCTTGTTTGTTGCACACGATTTTTATCAAAGACCAGAAATTGATTATGTAGTAAAATATTATCCAGTTATTGATGTCATTACTTTTTCGCTATTTAATTGGTTTGTTAGTATTTAACAATATTAATGTGTATCTTATGGATATTATTACTGCTTATTTGTATGGATCACTTGATCGTGATATATACATGAAAATCCTAGAAGAATTCAAGATGTCTGAGACATCAAAACCTAGAGAAATATATGCAATTAAGTTAAAGCTTATCTTATGGGTTAAAACAATCCGGGCGAATGTGGTATGGCTAAGTGAATGTTTCCTTAACGAAGGATATGAGAATAATCATATTTGCCTTTGTGTTTTTATATGAAAAATAATATTTGATTTTGTAATAATTGATGTTTATGTATGATTTAAATATCATTGAAACTCATAGAGAAATTAAGGAAGTAAGAGATTACTTAAAGAAAAAATTTGAAATAAAAGATTTGAAAAAACCATATTTTGCCTTGGTTTACAAATTGAGTATACTAAAAATTATATATTGGTACATCAACCAAATTATACATAAAAGGTATTGATAATGTTTGACATGGACAAGACAAACCCATTGAGTACTCCAATGATGGGTAGAATACTTAATGTTGAAAAGGATTAATTTAGACCTAAGAAAGATAATGAAAAAGATTTTGTCTCTAAAATACCGTACCTCAATACTACTGGGGCACTTATGTACCTTGCTAACTGTACAAAATCTGATATAACTCTTGGAAAGGAATAAAACATATATTTTGATATCTTCGAGGTACACCTGATCTTGGTTTGTTTTATTCTATCAATACAAAATCAGTTTTACTTGGTTATGCAAATGCATGATATTTGTCCGATCCACATAATGTTAAATCAAATACTGAATATGTATTTACATATGGTGACACTATAATATCATAGAGATCTCAAAAGCAAACATTTGTAGCAACTTCTTCAAATCATGCTGAAGTAATTGTCCTTCGTGAAGTAAGTAAATAATGTATATGGTTACGACCGGTAACTCAACATATCCAAGGAGCGTATGGTTTACCAATTGATAATAATCTAACAATTTTGTATGAGGACATTACTGCATGTGTTACCCAAATGAAAGAAAGTTACATCAAAAGTGTCAGAATCATGCATATACTTCCAAAGTTCTTCTCATTCACACAAGAACTTGAAAGAAACAAATAAGTTGATATTCAATATATTCGTTCGAGTGATAATGTGAGAAATCTCCTCACAAAGGCACTCACTACATCAAATTTTAAGAAGCACGTACAAAATATTAAAATGCGCCACCTTCGAGATTTTTTAAAAAGAACTAAATGTGTTTGGTTGAGGGGGACATAATGTTGTGTTTTTTTTATTATTAAATTTTTTATCTTAATGAGTTTTTCATAATAAAATTTTTAACGAGACAACATATTTTTTCAAAAGATTCTCCTCGAAGAAACTTTAACAAAGCACTGTAATAGATATTTCAAATGAAATGTATTTTAATAAATTAGAATTTGTAATATTCATCTAAAATATAAAATACAAATTATCTATCAAATTGTCAATTTAGAATAGTAATATTCTATTTCCAGTATTAACTTAAAATAATAATATAAATTATTACATTCATATCATATAATTATAATTTTAGTAGTATAAATACCCTATATAAAAATGCACCATTTTTGTTTTTAGAAATATAAACTATAGTCCTATTTTCGTCTCTCTTTATTTCTTTAGTTATATTAAAACATCCAATTTTCTCAATTTAAATATATCAAATTTGCCGTTTTTTTAAAACTTATTTTTCAATAAAAATATCCACTCAAGGGTATATGAAAATCTAAAACCGAAACCTAATTCAAACCTAACATTCACATTTCACTCCCTCCTCCGCCGCACCGGCTAACCAATCCGCCGTAATGAAGTCACCATTTACCGAAACAACACCGGACGAGAACGACGTAGCAAACGAAGTACCGAAAGGAAAGAAAAAAGGTAAACACGATAAACCAAAACCCTGGGACGACGATCCTAACATCGACCACTGGAAGGTCGAAAAATTCGATCCATCATGGAACGAAGGTGGAATGCTTGAAGTAAGTTCGTTCTCCACTCTCTTCCCTCAATATCGCGAAAAGTATCTCCAAGAAGCTTGGCCACTCGTTAAGTCCTCCCTCAAAGAATTCGCTATCTCTGCTGAACTTAACTTGGTATGTAATGTATAATGTATGCTATTCATATTGATTCCGCTTCGCGATTTTTGAAACCCTAATTGATTGATTTGAGTTTAATGATAATGTGTTCTTAGGTTGAGGGTTCAATGACAGTTTCAACTACAAGGAAAACTAAGGATCCGTATATTATTGTTAAAGCTAGGGATCTTATCAGGCTTCTATCTCGGAGTGTTCCTGCTCCTCAGGTTATTTTTATTATTGTTTCAGCTATAGTTACATTATAGGGTTGAATATATGTTTAGGGTTTGCTTGGATTGATTTATTTGAGCTTAACTGGTAGCATACTGTTTGGTGGAGCTTATAAACACGGCTTATGAAAACAATTTATAGCTTATATTATCTTTTGTTATAGACATAGTGACACACCTCATACTCAAGCACTTATATGATAAGAGATTATGCTATAAGTGCTTAATTAAACTGTTTATCTAAACAAGTATATTTTTTTGCTTAGACCCAATCAGGGTTTTAATCTCTACAAAATATCATCTTATCCAATTTAATTCTTCCATTATTTTTCCGTTAATGATTAGACTCTGATTTGTTCATTTGTTGACATCAGGACTAAACATAGATGTAGATGTTAGTCCCTAATTGTTGATTTTGAGACTAAACATAGATGGATTTTTTCACTAAACTAGGGCTAAACATTGTTAATTTTTTATTTGCAGGGACTAAATTTGATAAGTGATTATATTATAGGGGTTAAAAGCATTTTTTAAGTTTAATTCTAAATTATAAACAATATCTAAATATTTAGATGGATGACTTAAATTTTAGTGTTATATTTTAATTTATGATATATGAAATAGTTAGCTTAGCTGATTTAGGTGTTTCTATGTTATGGTGATTGTGTTTCTCAGGCAATAAAAATACTTGACGATGAAATGCAATGCGACATCATCAAAATTAGCGGGATGGTTCGCAATAAGGTAACTTCAATGAGCTGCCTCTCTAGTTTTAGTTGACTGTATTTTCTTGACTTGTGCAGTTATTTATCAAATTTTTTTTGCCACTCTGCACATTCTTATTGCTGGTTCTTACTTTTATGATGTTCTCTTGTCCCCCCCTTTCATCCTGTGTGGTTTTCTTTTCTTTGTTTTGTTTTAATCTTAGAATATTGAACCCTTTGCTACATTCATATTTAGTTTAATTCTTAATCCTCCGCCGCATTCAGCGTGTTTTCTGTTCAGTACTGAACTTTAAAATGGCTGGAAAACTATTTTGTAAACTGAACATATGTACATCAAGGGTCAAATTTAAAACAGGCCATATTATGTGTCTTTGTTTGAATTTTCAAATGTGTACCCTTGTTCACCATAGCAGCTGTGATTTGCTGCAATGGAGGAAACCATGGAGTAGCCACCTCTGGCTGCAAGCAACAATTCTACAGTACTTGTATTCACAATTGACTGCCACGAGACAATGTTAGGATATACACAGGCTGTTAACCAGATTGTCGCTCAATAATCATTCAACCTGCGCGACCTATCCTTCTGAGACATCACATTAATAAGAGTCACATTTTTAGTTAGTAAATCAAAATGATTTTTTAAATTGCAGTGGAATTCACTTAACACTTTCAAGTCACCTTCCTTGATAAAGTGCTGAAAGTCTTAAAATTTTGTAACAAAAAGAACTATCAAACCCAGGAGGTTTTTCCTTCCATGCTCAATCAGCTCTTTGGACTTCTTATTTTGCATATAAGCTCACACATATTTTGTATATAGCCTGATAGTTTTCAAAAAAGAAGCGTTTCAAAGAAATTAGTCTGATGGTAGGAAGCTTCCATTGATATTTGACTGCAGGAGCGATTCGTGAAAAGAAGACAACATCTTGTGGGTCCCAATTCTTCTACTTTGAAGGTATGTCTTGTAGATTTGTTTTTTTTTGCTCTGACAATTGACTTTATTGTCTTTTCTATTATTACTTTTTACTCCATTCCTCTGTTAACTTAAGCTTTGTGACTCCCTCTTCTTCAACTACAATGGTGCAGGCTCTTGAAATACTCTCGGGCTGTTACATTCTCGTCCAGGTAATTAATTGTTGCTTCAAATTCTAATGGCTGAAATATTTACCTACACTAAGATTTGGGTTGGGTCCAGAATGAGGTGACTGCCATCTAATTTTGCTCGTAATTTCACAGGGAAACACTGTTTCTGTGATGGGTTCATACAAAGGTTTGAAGCAAGTTAGAAGGATTGTTGAGGAATGCATGCTGAATAAAATGCACCCCGTCTACAACATAAAGGTTAAAACATTTGTATTTTCTCCAGCTTAATTTTAGTATAGATTTCAGGTGTAGAAAATATCTTATTTCTTTTCAAATTGTCAGATTCTTATGATGAAGAAGGAACTTGAAAAGGACCCGGCACTTGCCCAAGAGAACTGGGATAGGTTTCTTCCTAAGTTTAACAAGTATGACTTTAAATATTTTATAATTTTATAGAGTATGTATGCATCCTCTGCTTCAGTTTTTTTATGCTTCTTTCTTTTTCCAGGAAAAATGTAAAGCAAAAGAAGGTTAGTGCTAAAAAGAAGAAGCCGTATACTCCATTCCCTCCTCCTCAACAGCCTAGTAAGGTGAGACAACCAATTTCTCCTTCTAAGACTGATTTTGTTTAGATCCAAGTTTATTTGACAAGCTATGCTCTTCCATTATCTATTCTGTGAAGTAAATTCTGAAGTGCCTGCCCTTCGTAATTTATGTGATATTTCAGGTTGATATAGAACTAGAAACTGGAGAATACTTTATGAGTGACAAAAAGAAATCGAAAAAGAAGTGGCAAGAGAGGCAGGAGAAGCAGGCTGAGAAAACCTCTGAAAGCAAAAGAAAACGAGAAGAATCCTTTATCCCACCCAAGGTATTCTGCTGTTTTCAAAATAAATTATGTCATTCATGTTGCTTTATAATTTCCTTTGGGTTGTTTCATTAAACTTCTATTTACACTTTTTAGGAATCTGCAAAACCGGTGGATAACTCTGAGGATGCTAATAATAACGTAACTGAAATGGCAATGTCCTTAAAGGTGCGACATTCTATTGGAATTTGCTTTTGGCATGATGGTTTTTCTTATTTTGTTATTGCAAGTTTTCTTTGTCAAGCTAATAGTTTATCTTCAATGGATAATTATCTCACTTGAATACGAAATGGTTCCTCCACAGGAAAAAACAAAGAAGTTTGGGAAGCGCAAATCTGAAGAAAATATAAATGCTGAGACATATATTATAGGATCATCAGAACAGCCATCAAGAAAGAAATCTAAGCAACAAAGGTCTTAGCATGATCTTCATTCTAGAGATGGAAGATGCATTTGTGATATGAATTTCATCCATAAATTTTGATCCAATGGCTGTAACATGTACCCTTCTGGGCCCTCTACAACTTTTCCCTTTCAAAATGGGTTTCAGATATATGATACAAATTTGTTGCAGTATAATTTTGGGGTATGTGCGAGATGAAAAATCGATACATTTTAATCTAAGGTTGATACCTTTTGATGATCAATTTGGTATTATATTTAAAAGAAATGCATGTAGAAAATAAAATTTAAGTAGGACAACCAAATCTGAGCCTATAATTTTTTCTCATATATAAATATTTGGACCATCAGTATTTTTTTTCTATATATAAATATTATTTTTGTTTTGTCATTGTTTAGAAAAATATTTAAATCAATATTAAATTTGTTTGTGTTTATAAAAATAACATCTTTATAAAAATATATGAAATAATATATTTTTTAAGTATATTTTGATCAACAATAAATTTATTACCTTATTTCTAATTGTACTTTAAAAAAACATCAAATAAATATAAATATTAGAAAGTACTCCTTTCATTTTTATTTATAAGTAAATCTTAACATTTTAGATTCATTAAGTAATTAATGCATCTAACCTATATATAGTACAAATAAATTTGTTTATAAAAGAGAATGGATGAAGTATGGACTAAGAAAATAGAATAACACTTAATTTGACCACAACTAAAAATTTTATAATTTAATTTTGGCATAATTAGTCCATAGATCCCTTAACTTTGAGTGAAGTTTCGTTTTGGTCCCCGAACTAAAAAACGTTACATAATGATCCCTTAACTTTACTTTCGTTAAACCATTTGGTCCCTACAGGTAAGCAAATGACAACATTCAGCTTCTGTGTTAAAAACACTCTAGGGTTCATGGGTTCCATCTTCCATTACAGTGTTCATCTATATTTTCTTCATCTTTCATTTTCTTCTCCAAAATAGTAAAAGAAAATTGAAGATTGGAACTTACAACAACACAATTTTTTTTTGCCAATTTCTCTTCCATTTTCTGTAGCACAACTAAAACGGGTGGTTGTTTTTCTTCTTCAATTTTCATTTGAGTATCTTATTTTGGATCTTCCTCTTCAATTTTCATTTGAGTATCTTGTTTTGGATCTTCCATGAGAACACAAAGGGTAAAGTTTTTAAATTTTTTAAAATTGGGGTTTGTTCTGCATCTTAAAGGGGAAAAGATAAGTGTTGGGTTTGGTTTTTGGAAGTGAGTAAATAAAGGTTTGTAATGACTATTTAAGGTTGAAAAAATTGATATTTGGTTTTGTAATTGTTGAGATTTATTGAGCGAGGGTGAAATTGGTGTTGGAGTGGTTGTTTTTCTTTCAATTTCTCTTAATTTTTTTTGCTAATTTCTCTTCCATTTTCTGTGACACAACTAAAATGGGTGGGTTTTTTCTTCATCATTTTCATTTTGGTATTCTGTTTTGGATCTTCCATGAGAGCACAAAGGGTAAAATTTTCCAATCTTTGAAATTTTGGGTTTGTTCTGCATCTTAATGGGGAAAAGGTTGAAAATTTGATAAAGGTTTAAAGGTTGAGGTGAAAATTGAGAAGAAGAAGAAGAAATGGAAGAAAAAGTTTCTTTCATGAGAGAAAGTGTTGAACTTATGCAAAGAGGAATGATTCTAGTGCCACTAGCTTGGTCAAATGTGTAATATTTTAATCAATATAAAATAACTAAATATTACAACTCAACAACTAAATGTCCAGCTAATCAAAGTTAACGTTTTTTCACCAAAAACTAACTGAAAGGACTAAAATATGTAACGAATTATAAGTTAATGGACCACTATGTAACGTTTTTTTAAGGACCAAAGAGAAACATTCACTAAAGTTAAAGGATCAAAATATGTATTAAACCTTTAATTTTTATTAATATAGGTGTTTTGGACTGAGCCTGTAGTTGTTTCAGCGTCGAGCACAACCCAATCTAGGTCTACGTTGAAGACGATCCAAAGTGTTGTCCGACCCGTTAAATTTAGTGAAGAGTACGTTTCCCACAGGCCCCTCACTCGAGGACACGTCACTAACTGACCCGCACGCCTCGTGGAACCATTATGTCCTTCGTAACAGACAAGTTCATCCACCAACCGTGGAATGCATATCGGTTGACCAGGACGATGAGCACGAGCTGCTCATCCCTGCCTCCATGTAGGAATCTTAGCAGTCATCCGTTGTGGGCTTGAACGCTCAGCCCATAATGGAGACCATTGGCCCAGCGCTGGAGGCTCACTATAAAAATCCTCCTCTGCAGGAGGGTCACGCCGACCGCCTATCTATTCTGATCGACAGGTTCAATCGGTGGCACTGTCTGTGGGAACCCTGTTTCCCAAACTTTTCTTTCATTGAAACCAAATGACTGAAACAAAAAAAACTTCAGAAACCAACCATGGCCGATCCACACAACGACAATGGCGGTCACAAAACCATCCTTTCTCCTGTATACGACACCGAAAACAACAATGATATGCCCTTTCTAGAGGAAAGCACCCAACTGAGGAGAGATGGGCCCAACGCCTCCCCCTCCTCCGACGATGCGGCTGATCATGAAGTCTAACAAGTCGAAATTAGCAAAGCTCTTGAGAAGGCGCCAGAGAAATTTCAACTGATTTCGGTACCACCCAATGTCGACCCAACCATGGCGGCCCTATTCGTGACGTTAAACCAAACTAACACGCTGATCTACCAGCAGAATAAGGGAATCAGAGCGTTGGAGAAGGACCTCCGTTCACACTCTCCCACTCGGAGACACCGACGATACGAGTCCCAAAGCCCGTCGCCACAAGGACCAGGCCGCCACCCGCAGCTAGAGAGGCCGCAACCCCTTAAGCGCAGCTACTCTCCTCCCGGCGAGGATCGACGCTCCCCGGTTGCCAAGAAGAGCAAGGTCGGTGGACGGCCGGACAACCGACGGTCGCCTTCACACAAATCAAAGGGCCGACTATAGAGCAAGGCCACAGCTCCTGGAGCGACGAAGGCGACCCCCGCAGTCCATTGTCTCGAGCCATCATGGACGCTCCCCATCGCGTCAGACTGAAAAACCACCGAACTTGGTAACATACGAGAGATTCCGACAAGCACATTGAAAAGATCAATGCTTTACTCGATTATAACGGCGTCAGAGGCGCCATCAAATGCAGGTTTTTCCCTATTACTCTGAGGAAGGGCGTCATGACCTAGTACAAGAGTCTCGTTGACGAATTCATCACTTCCTGAAGAGATCTGAGGAAGCAGTTTTTGAGGCACTTCACCGATTCTTGTCGCCATCCAAAGTTTGAGGTGATGCTCGAAGAAATCATGCAGGCAAAAGATGAACCCCTTCGAGCCTACATTGATAGGTTCAAACGAGAAGATGTCCAAGTGTCCATGACCGACGACATGAAAAAGTATTTGCTCGAGCAGGGACTGCGCCTCTGCAGTGACTTCACCTCAAGAATGCGATTGAAATCGTTATCAGGGATGAGCACCTGAAACAATACACTAAAAGAATAGAGGATCCTCAGCAAGACGCCCGAGAAGTAAAGAAGGTCGAGGAGGAGAATCCACTCTCGCACGACTCTCCCGACCTGCAGGTCGCCATGTCCATCTCCCAGCCTGAAGACTTCTACGTCCCTGACGGAGCCGAAAACCCCTCCATTTTTCGGCACACAACACATAGGAAACCTTCCATTCCGCCATGGTCATATCTGATGAAGGGTTCAACAAGCTCACTATAGGATCAGTGAAAAGGAATTTCGAGCAACTCATCAATGCGAGCTCGAGCCAAAAAACTACTCTGGACAAATGTCGGGGAAACTCAATCCCTATCATGTTCTACCGTGAGGAGCTCCCCGGTGGATCCTCCAACTTCAACATCCCTTTTTTCGTGAGAGCACGAATGACGAACTTCGACGTTCGCCGCATACAGGTTGACCAGGGAAGCTCGGTCGATATCATGTACTCTCTGTAACACCCTAAACTCTGCATACAATTTTAATGCATAATTTAACAAAATTGTAACAAAAAAGGGTGTCACTCACATCAAACATATCGTGCTTTGTAACACGGGTCATAAATTTTACATAAACACATGTCATCGCATGATCACCTTCACTTAGGGTATCATCGTAGTAAAATCATAATTAAAACAATTAAAAACCATATTGCACTCATACCATTTAGTCTAAACTTCAACTTCCATAACAAATAAAAGAGTTTAAATAAATCAGCTCAATAACCACATCAGTTATAATACTTCAACATAAACATGACATAAAAAGTGAAAGCAAACGTTCCCAGCCCAATGTTGCGTGGGCAGAGCAATACTCTACTAAAGAAAATGACAAACTATTAGAAGCCACTTCAAGAGCTACCTTCCACTTACTTCAGCAATGCTACTCTTGAGTATCTACATGATGTCTATGTAAAGACAACATTAAAACAGATGGGGTGAGAATTCATTTCAATAATAAGTGGTATATAATGAAGAATAGAGTACAACATCTACACAATCATGCACAACAATATATCACATTTTCACATCCAAGTCATAATCAACATCATACACGACGATGTCTCAATTATCATCAACATCCTACAAAATAAAATCTCAATTATCATTAACATCATATGCAACAACATCTCATCCAACATAACGTTGACCACAACCATTATAAATGCAACGCTTATGCAATGTACTCAACACCCACTCGACATGCATGTGGTACCAAATATGAACACTCATGTTCATCTCAATTCATGATCCCCACCATAGGATTGATTTCCTTTTGGAACCGGAGAACACCAAAATCACTACCATCACTATAGGTAACGCTTCACTAATCCCGCATAATAGGAATTAGCTACTCGCACCCGGTCCATTGCCATAGAATCGAGGCTCACCAAAACTGGACCGAAGCTCGTACACCAAGATGCATGACTCTCAAATAACATGCATTAATACAATAAGGTTCACCAA